CCCAAGGAGCAGGGAGCCCGATGCGGGACTCGATCCCAGGACCCTGGGATCACGACCTGAGCCGAAGGCAGACGCTTAACCATCTGAGCTACCCAGGTGCCCTATTTCAGCATTATTTACCATAGCCAAGATATGGAGGCAACCTAAGTTTCCATCAATAGATGAATGGATAAATAAGATGTGGTGTGTGTGTGGGTGTGTGTGTGTGTGTGTGTGTGAAAAGAATTTTACTCAACCTTAAAAAAAAGAATCTTGCTATTTGTGACATGAATGGACCTAGACAGTACTATGCTAAGGGAAATGTTAGACATAGAAAGAAAAATACCATATAATTTCATTTATATGTGGAATCTAAAAAACAAAGCAAATGAATAAACAAACAAGAAAAGGAGAAACAGAAGAATAAATACAGAGAACAAACTGGTGATTGCCAAAGGGAAAGGTAATGGGAGATTGGCAAAATGGGCGAAAGGGAGCGGGAAGTACAGGCTTCTGGTTATGGTATAAATAAGTCATGGGGATGAAAGGTACAGCGTAGGAAATATAGTCAGTGGTATTATAATAGTGTTCTATGGTGACAAATGGTAGCTACACTTGTGGTGAGCATAGCATAATGTATAAAGTTATCAAATAATTATGTGTACATCTGAGAGTAATGTAATATTGGGTATCAACTATACTTCATTTTTTTAAATTGACTTTGAGAGTAAAAAAAAATCTGGTTTCCACAACATCTTTATTAAAAAGCCCATCTCTTCTCCCAAAATAAAACTATAAAAATTAAGTCAGGCATCTTTCAAAATTTAATTCAGTTAAGATAGCCAGTTCAGTTTTGGTTGTCTTCAAAGTACCTAAAAAATCGATATACCTGGATCATACTACACTGTCATCCTTTGCAGTACAAATCCTATTCCTCTTAAATATATCTAAATACACCTGCTCTCAAACTATTTTCACTTGACTTCCACAATGTTACTGTTGCTTTTCCTCTTTCCTTCATCCAACATTCAATGTCCTTTGCCATCCTTCTCAATATCCTTTGCCAGCCTTTATCAGTCTTTGCCAATATTTGAAAATCTCCTCCATGAACATCTATTTCATATAAAATACAAAAATAAAAACAAAATAATATTTTTCTTTTGGATACACATTTCAACATATACACATATTGAATACTCATATTTGAGTATATAAATGGGCCTTTGAATTACATTGCTGCTAATAACTCTATCCATCTAAGTCTGATGATTAAAAAACATACAATTCAGGATGACCCAGAATGTGAAATGTACAGTTATTCTCATTCCCAAATGATTGAATCTCATGGTTGTAAGGGATTTCTAAATCACCCATTAGCTTGTTCTGACAAGATCTCCTCCACTCACCTAAGTGGCTTGTTGTCTGGGCTGACATCAGTAAAGTCCATTTTCTTCAGTTTGCAGCACCTATAACGTTCATAGTGCTGAATGTGGGTTTGTTCTTTCAGGTCTTCTGTATTTATACAAAGAAGCATATCCCGGAGCTTGACAAAATCACAGTGATTTTCATTTTCCACTAGGCAGAAAAATAAGAAAGCAACAACACTCATTATCCATCCTTGGCACACAGTAAGTATTCCTGAGTGAATGTATGCACGAAAAACACATTTAAAATAACAGCTAAGAGATTGTCATAATTAATAGATCTAATTCTTTGTAATTGTAACTATGATTATATGGTACATATCTATTATAGACAGAGTTTATTTTTGGATCAGGAAATTTGCTTTAATTTATTGGCCAAAATATAAATAGGAAACAGTGAATTAACATGTTATATTAGTGTATGGCATAGTTTTTTGTTAATAACTGTTAGTATTTTACAAACTGCTCCCAAGATATTTCACAGAGCACTAACAAAGAATGTAATATAATTTCACTAAAGTAAATAATTTCATTAATCCTTCTACCATGAAGGCATTAAAATTATGCATGTTTTAGTTCTCAAATACTGTTTATACCCCATATTTATGAAACCAAATTAGTTAATATTTAAAATCAATCAATAAATTTACATGGCTCTCTCCTGTGTTTGTCATATCCAGACTACTGAGAACTATATATATTTTATTGTGCATGATATTGTAACCAAATTTAATATTCATTAAAATATATTATTTTGTGTTTCATAAATTTAATTTTTAATATATCAGTTAATAAAACAACATTTTGGAAACTAGCACAAGTGGAAATAATCCAATCCCCAGTAATTTGTATTACAACTATATAAACCAGAGAATACATGACTGCCTGTTAGAGTATTTCAACTCATCACAATGTTAGATAACTAATATAAATATTTAAGCATAATTTTTCTAAAGGTAAATTACATTTCTTTATTTTAAAAATAGTTAACCATTTTTTTGTCTAGTGACCACTTAAAAATGCCTTATAAATTAAGTAGTAATTTATGTAACAGGTTTTAACACTAGCATTTATGCTTTAATGTTGCTCAAAGTTCTTTTGTTCAAAGCACTTTCCAACATTCTGAATGTAATTATTTATGCATATAGAGATACTATGCATATGTCAGATTGGGGTAAATGAGGAGGTTCTACCAAACCTCTGTGAATTTTTGTCTAAAGCACCACCTAGCAAACTCTTATGAGAATGAATTATAGTCAAAGTAAGAATTCGCTTAAATGGAAAATAATTTGTGCTCTTCATTAGTAACCCTTAATTTACTGTTTAGCAACAATTACCAATATTGACTCAAGTTAAAATATTTTAAGACTATAAGAATACACACACACACACACACACACACACTTTCCAAAGCAAGCCTGCTCACTTTCATCACATTTACCTTGTAAAACTCCCCAAGGGTACTGACGGCCTCTGACCATTCTTTTTCCAACTTTCACTTCATCCATACTCCCTACTACAGCAAAAGGTAATTGTCCCTAAAAGTAAGAACAACTTTAATTATGTTCCCTTATAACAATATGGCCTACTCTGTTCTTTCTTTCTTTCTCTTTTTTTTAGGGAGAAAAACAAATTAGATTTTTATTTTTTTTATTATGTTACTTATTTCTGTTATGGGAATCAATAGAGAGAAGAATATCATAAGTTTATTCAAACAAGGCATCTACCCTGTCTCAGATTTTAAGACTTAGTAGTAAATATGTGCAAATTAATTTTTGCAAGCATTATCATCAGGCCATGCACACAACTGAAAACTATCTACTGAGTAGAGCTTAAAGCAAGGGGTTCTGCTGTGGGGAATACAAATAAAAAATATTTTTACTAGATACAAATTTTTTCACATTATCTTTACCCTGAAATACAAACATGTTGAGGAAATAATATGTAAACCACTTTTAACTCCAGTACACAAGTTAAAATGGAAAGTATTAAGAAAAAATTATAGGGGTGCCTGGATGGCTCAGTCGTTAAGCGTCTTCCTTCCTCTCAGGTCATGATCCCATGGTCCTGGGATTGAGTCCCACATGGGGCTCCCTGCTCCGCGGGAAGCCTGCTTCTCCCTCTCCCACTCTCCCTGCTTGTGTTCCTTCTCTCACTGTGTCTCTCTCTGTCAAATAAATAAAATCTTAAAAAAAAAGAAAGAAAAAAACTATAATAATTAGTTAATGGGTATACAATTAGAGTATACTAATAAATATACTCTATACATCTCAATGAATTCTAAATAAAATTAAAGGGTCACTCTGGGAGGTGAGAGTCAGAGGGATCTGAAAATTAATGTGCAACCCAAGGGAGATTGGGGAAGATGATAAGAAGAATAATCATAGGTAAAATAGGGTTTTGAGCAGGATGGAAAGACAGCAGAAATATGCAAGATAAATTCATGATCTGTCAGAAGTTACATAGATTGAATAGAAGGGTTGATATACAAGAAATGTCAATGATAAAAATTATTAAGCATCATTTTAAATATTTAATAATTAACAATATTTAATTTATTAATTAATTTTGGTTAAAAAAATATTCCCTATGAATCCCTAGAGGTAAAATTAAAGAGGCAAAATCTTTAAGACAAAATCTAAAGAAAATACAACACAGAAGAATAAATAAAAATCTTACATTACTCAGCTTTTCAATTCAGAAAACTAGTTTGTGAAATCTTAAAATAAATGGTGTATGAAAAATAACAAAAGAAAATGGAAGAAACAGAATTAGTACTTATTTGTTATATCTAGACACCGTGTATCAGGGACTTTGCAAGAAGTTTTACAAGAAGCCTCAATAGTCGTATCAGTGATCCCATAGTATATATAAGTTAACAGGCTCAAGGGAGATAGGAATTGTATAAGATCCTGTGGATTTTTTAAATAGTTTTACTCTTTTTTAAAGTTTTTATCTAAGTTTCAGTTAGTTAACATATAGTGTAATATTAATTTCAGGTGTACAATGTAGTGATTCAACACCTCCATACAACACTTGGTGCTCATCACAATGCACTCCCTAATCCCCATCACCTATTTAACCCATCCCCCAACCCATCTCCCCTCTGATAACCATCAGTTTGTTATCAAATAGTTAAGAGTCTGTTTCTTGGCTTCTCTCTCTCTCTTTCTTTTTCCTTTACTCATTTGTCTTGTTTCTTAAATTCCACATATGAGTGAAATCATATGGTATATGTCTTTTTCTGGCTAACTTACTTCCCTTGGCATTATACTCTCTAGCTCTATCCATGTCATGGCAAATAGCAAGATTTCATTCTTCTTATGGCTGAATAATATTCCATTGTATATATGAACCACATCTTCTTTATCCATTCATCTATTGATGGACAAGTGGGCTGCTTCCATAATTTGGCTATTGTAAATAATGCTGCTATAAACATACAGGTGCATGTATCCCTTTGAATTAGGGTGTTTTTTTTTTTTTTTAAATGTTGGGGGTAAATACCAAATAGTGCAACTACTGGATCATAGGATAGCTCTATTTTTAACTTTCTGAGGAATTTACATACTGTTTTCCCTATTTTGCTTCTTATATTCCAGTTTTCTTTTTGTTTCCTTTACATCTTTTATTAAAGATTTTATTTAATTATTTGACAGAGAGAGACCAAGCAGGGGGAGTGGGAGAGGGAGAAGCAGGCTTCCTGTGGAGCAGGGAGCCCGATGCGGGGCTTGGTCCCAGGACCCTGGGATCATGACCTGAGCCGAAGGCAGATACTTAACAGCTGAGCCACCCAGGCACCCCTCCATTTACAACTTAAATGTTTTTTCATACCTTCACTTTTAATCTGTGTGTGTCTTTAGGTCTGAAGTGAATCTCTTATAGACAATACATGGGTCTTGCTTTTTTTTTTTTTTTTGCCATTTTAACCATTTTTAAGTGTAAC